ATTCTACCTGTATTGCTCTATGCAAGTGAAACATGGACACTAAACGCAGAGAATCAGCGTACTCTTGATGTTTTTGAAAGGAAAATCCTTAGAAATATTTTTGGCCCAGTACAGGAAAGAAGCTGTTGGCGAATCAGATACAACTTTGAATTATATAGACTCTATGGACAGCCACAGATAGTGCAAGTCATACGAAGCATTGGCCATATCTGGAGAGGCCCAGAAAATAATGCAGTCAGAATCGCCACCTTTAAGAATCCTCCGGGATCTCGGGCTAGAGGAAGACCTCCAACTAGATGGCTGGATGACACTGCTAAAGATCTAAAAGTATTAAAGATAAACAACCGGAAAAAAGTCGCCATGGACAGGAGGCTACGTGTGGTTGAGGCAGCCAAGGCCTGTAAGGGACTGTCGTGCTGAAGAAGATCTATTAAGTACTTATAATTATGTACAAAATCTTCTATAGATTATTTTGTTGAATCAAAATAGTTATTCGAAACTTTCAAAGTTTAATTTACTTTAAATGTATGAATTGCTTTCTCAGACCCATTTCCTAAGTTCCCCCCTAATTTATTATTATTTGTGTAAAAATGTTAATTTTTCTGTGAAATATTTCCTGTGTATTGATTCATCATTAAATTTTTTATTATTATTTTTAGTGACACTATAAAAATGTGTACTTTTTGATTCGTATAATCATAAAATTAGTGTCTGAAATTCCATACTATTGAAGTAATCAAATTAAAATCTTCATCTTAAATGAAGATGAATAATGTTAAAATAAAGCACCTCTAATAATAATAATATAAAATCGTTTTTATAAAATTTTAACTTATCCAAAATTTCAAAGTAATAAGGTAGTTCCCTTAAAATCTTTGTGATAATTAATAATGAATAAAATAGATTATTTGCGTGACAAATCGATTTCGCTCTTAAGAATTTAACTAGATTTTATAAAATTTCATTGAAAACTTTTGAAGTATTGTTGACAGTTAAAATCTCAATGCCAATTAAAAATAAATAAAATTTTAAGATTAAAATAAAATAATTTAAGTGCATAAATTCATTTCTTCGACACAATAACTCAGATCTGTCTAATTTTGATATTTTTGTAACAAGATTGATTTCGCTTAAAAGAATTTCTTTTATGTATTACGAATTCAAGATCCATATATCTTTTTTTTAATTACAAGTCAATTCAAATTTACGATCAAAGCATTAGTAATGCTCGCAATACATAAATAACAGCATTGTAATAAAACTTTCAATATCTCTTTATTTTATCAGAAATAAAAATGGATTCTGATATTTTTATTCTTCATAGAGAAATAAACACTGTTACTTCGTATATGTTATTCAAGAACCAAGTTTTTGTGCCTGTTATTAAAGAACGAGGAATCAATAATTATTCGATCATATTTTTGTGTTGATACTTTAGTATAATTTCTAACTTTCCCATAACAGACCCCTGAATCTGTATTATCTTCATTACTGTATTTAAATAAGGCGGATTGTTCGATTGGGCAAAGCTGATGTTCTTATAATGAATTGCATTTTACCAACAGCTGGTAATATTGACTTAAAATAATCAATTCTTAAAATATAATTTTATTTATGAAAAACTCATGTTCATTTAATTTAGGTGAGTACGGTTGAAGAAACTCGCGTGCTTGGTTTGGCCATGGTTCCTGGACATCATATAGTCTCCATAGAAGTAGAAGTTGACAGTGATAAGACAACAAATTCTGAAGTGCTATGATTATAAATGCTTTAAAAAATGGTGTAAATATTTTATTCATCATAATAAATTTAAAATAGAAACCATTGTGCAAAAAACATATTTTATTGTTATAAAAATAGCGTATAAATTGATCGGAGCTTTAGTAAAATCTATTAAGGTGAAGTATATTTAAAACAATTGGGTATAACTATTTCATTTAAAACAATAAAAATTCAGGTACATTTAAAACAATATAAATTTCAATTAATACATTTCTATAGTTCGGAAAGTATTAGTTGAGCCCATATTCTTTTGTAAGATTCCCTGCAATAACAATCCTTTGAATTTCACTTGTACCTTCGTAAATTTCTGTTATTCTTGCATCTCTGTAATGCCTTTCAGCAGGCACGTCAGTTACATAGCCCATACCACCTAATATTTGAATAGCCTAAAATAAACAATACATGCTGTTAAAACAACTCCAGTTAATTTATTTGGAGGAAAAAAAATTCATGAATAATTAAATTATTTGGCTGATTATCAAGAACAAATTGATATAAGTAATTGCTTCTGTACTACTAAGATGCCATGTTACAAAATAACATAACTATGTACTCTTACAAAAACTAAATAACAACTTAATGTATTGAAATGAGATATGCTAAAATTTGATAACTCTACTAAACTTTACTAGTAATCAATTTTAAATTTGTTAAATTTTAAGAGCAATTTAGGCTCCTCTGCTTTAGAATACAATAGGACTGTGTAAAGTGTGCAATATATTTTGAAGAAATTCTTTAAAAGTTTTAAACAATACTTTATCAATTTAATAAGAAAGGCATAAATTACATTGTACTAAATTTATTCCATTAAAGTTTAATTTATAATTTATGAACACTGCATTTCACCCTTAGTTCAACTGCATTAATATAGCCCATAAAGTCAAACTGCATTATGTGCGAAAAAAATCAAGATTTTTTTTTTGTGGGGATGTTTTTATTATTTTTATTGCATGTGTGCATTGTTAAAAAAAAAGGATCTTAGAATAAGGGTATTTTTGAAGAAAAAAAATTTGTTCTGTATAGAATCTCTTCATAGCTATTCAAAAGCTTAAAAAAAAAGCAATTAGCACATTTGTATTTTGCACAAAATTATGCATTATTTAAAAATTAATTTACTCCAACTCTTTTGCATAAAACTATGTACTTAAAAATATCAATATGTAGCTATACAATTTGTTTATATATATATATACATAGATGTGTGTGTGTCCTGAACATATTACCTGATGTGCCACAAATGTTGCAGTCTCAGAAGCTGTAAGTTTAGCCATCGCAGCTTCCTGAAAAAAATTATTTTTTTAACAATTAATAGAAATAAATTAGCACTACTGGATCATAAGAAAGTAGTAAATGTTGCTGTCTCAAAGGTAGTATGACAGATAGACAGTCTTCTATGAATGTTACATTTAATACTGGTAAATATGATACATATACTGAATTAAAAATCAGTATTTAGAAAAGTTACAAATGTCTCAAAAGCAGAAAGTTTTTTAATGGAAGTTTCCTGAAATATAATATTTCACTTATAAATTTTTCTATTGATAAAACAAAATAAATGCTGAACATTCTCTAGCATCAAAATAACTCTAGAACTCATTGGGCCAATGTTCACCAATCTTAGCTTAGCCATTATTTTCCTCATATTGGACTGATACAGAAATGTTGGATTCACCTGATATTTTATAGCCACTATTCAGCTGATGTTTATGCTATATAAAATTGTCAACAATATTCCCACAATATTTCATTTCTCTTATTTACCTAATATCAGCCCTATACAGATTTGTTAAGTTCACCCAATATTTTAAAGCTGTTATTCAGCCTATATCCTTTCCATATACAAGTGTCAGACTCAACCGATGCTTTATAGCTCTTATTCAGTCAATATAAACCTTGCATAGAATTGTCTGATTGTTCCGAAATTTTATAGCTATAAATCAGCCAATATACACCATAGATAAAACTGTATGATTCACCCGATATTTTAAAGCTGTTATATTGTCATTGTAGACCCTATTATCCACCCAATATAGACCCTATTTCAAATTGTCGGAGTGACCAGATATTTTATAGCCGTTACTACCCAATATAGGCGGTATATAGAATTGTTCAACTCCATTGATATTTTATAGCCACTATTCAGCAAAAGTTTACCCTATATAGAATTGTCCAAATGATTCAATATTTTATTGCTCTTCTGCTCTTATTTCGCCAATATTGGCCATATACAGATTTGTGAAGTTCAACTGATATTTTACATCCGTTATTCACTCTATGTCAGTTCGATACAGAAGTGTCCGACTCAACCAATGTTTTACAGCAGTTATTAAGCCAATATAAACCAACCCAACTAACAATTGTACGATTGACCCGATATTTTATAGCCGTTACTTAACCAATGTAGGCCATATATAGAATTGTACAATTCACCTGATATTTTAAAGACGTTATTCATCCAATGTAGACCCTATTTAAAATTGGCCAATTAACCCGATATTTTATAGCCCTTAGATAAAACCTGAAAGGTAAAAAAAAAATGAACGCTTTTCTCTAAAATCCATACTTAGTTGTTTTCAAATCTCATGGGTGGATAGCCATCAATATAACTCTATAGTGCTACTTTTTCAATAAAATCAAAACATGCAGTGCTCTCCGTAATCCGATTTTCTACTCCAGAACTTGTCAGAGTTTATGACTACCAATGTTCAACTACGTTGACTTGTAATTTTGAATCTAACCTAGAAGACAAGGTAACACCTGAATCAAGTGTTGGGAGAAATTTGCCTTTGTGGAAGACTTTTTGATGGAACTAACCCGCATTTGCGTTTCATGAAGAGGAAAACCTTCCATGGTTAGCCTGATGGTCAGAGGTCTCTAAACCCATTATATGCCTACCACTGAGGATATTTCGCAGCTCGCACTCAGTACGACCTGGGAGCGGAATTCGTATCCACCAGCCATTGCTGAGATTCAAAGCCGGTTCATCTAATTGGAAGGAGAGCGCTCTATCCCTTGAGCCACCATGGCTTTAGGTGAAAATGTTTGTAGTTATCATTTCCAGTAATAAAGTAAATACTGACTGTTTAATTGGATTGCACATCACGTTTTCTGTAACCTATTCTGAAATATTGCAAATAGTTCAAATGCAGCTTTATCAATCAAATTTTTAACTCTTTCAACATCAAACATAAATTTTGACTAGAAACTTGCCATTTTGATGAAGGTGATAATCATTTCCAATAATGCTGTAAAGAGAGTGCTTAATCAGATTGCGCAGTTGCATCTTCTAAGCCCACTCTAAAATGTAGCCAATAGCTCAAGTGCAGCTTTAGCAATCTATTTTTTAACATCCTGCAATATCAAGAAAAAGAATAAATTTTTAAGATCGCTTAGTTTTCTATGCCAAATCGCACCGCATTACCCCCAAAAGCCGTATAATGAATAAAAGTAATTTTTCCTTTTTAAAATATGTGTGTTTAATTGTTCTATTAATTGATTTTCAAGATAATTGGATCAGCAGAGAGTTTTAAGACAAAGCATTTACGCAGTAGTTTCCTTATTTCATAATAAATAATCGTGAACAAAAATTTTCTTTCAATTGTGTACAATTTTACCGATATTTTATATGAACTATCACAAGCTTAATAGACAAATAAAAAAAATATTTATTTTCAAAATGTGAATTTTTGGACTGTTGTTAAATAAACAAAAAAAGTTTTATAAGCAAAAAAGAAAAATCTGTTTTAGGTAGATTTGTTTGCATTGTAAATCACTTATTAAGGAACTAGATATAGGAATGAATATTATTAAAGTATTTTAAGTCTTTCCAGGTTCAATAGCTGTAAATACAAAACTGGTCCTTAATACGTCTATAATGGTTTTATATATTTCTAGCCAATGGTCATAGAATGGCTTTCAATATCGGACCGAGATTGAGATGTAAAAGTTTTCTAATAATAGGTCCTAGAATGGCTTGATATTCTGGCCAAATATTTATTTTTATGTAGGACCTTTATAGGTTTAAAATATGGGGCGACTATTGGGGAGTCTAAATTTTTAATATTGGTCCACGAATGGTTTTGATCATAGGAACAATATTAATTTCTATATAGGACCCTTGTAGCTTTACAACATGGAGTCCGTAGCATAATTAACACTACCAACTTTTAAATTCCAGTTCCCTAGTATATAAGATATGTTAACTTGATTCTACCTTGAGTTACCAATTAATAGATGAAGGGTGACATTGTCGGTAACTTAGCTCCACAAAGGATGCTCGCAGGCAGGCTTGTCTCACTCTTCATAGGTGACTTGTAATCAGTCTACAAAGGTGACTTTCGTACATGATCTAAACATGTGAATCTCGACAGGAAGACCACCTCAATAGGAACGCATATACAGTACAGAACCCGTTATCCGGAAAACCAAAAAACCGGAACGAAATTCAATAAATTTCCCCGCCCTTTTTAAATTTTTTTTTTTTTCCTCTTAAGATTTTAGGATTTTTCTTTCTTTTTTGAAAGATATTTAACTTACCATCATTTTTGAAATGATCATTAGTGTATTACTTCATCTTCTTTTTTTCTTTTTAAGATTATTTCCAAATATTTTTTTTTTTTTACTTGGGTTTAACAATAAAAAAAACGGCTTTTTGTAGCGATTCAGAAAACCGGAAAAATTGGTTATCCGGAATAGCGATGGTCCCGATCGTTCCGGACAATCGGTTCCCTACTGTACTTTGATGAACGGTCTAGATCAAACACAACAGGATCCTTTAGCCTAGCCCCACATAGGCTTGATTTGAACATGCATGCCTCAAACAACAATTTACGAGCTAATATTGGTCCTACAATGGCTTTTAATAACAGCCCAATATCATTTTCCATGTAGGCACTTAATAGACTTATCATGTTGAGTAAACATAGGGATGTCTAGATTTTTCAATATTTCTCCTAGATAGAAATGAATCTTGTTCCAATATTGAAAGTCATTTTAGGACCAATATTGAAAAATCTAGACATCCCAAAATACACTTGGTACATGTTCTTAAGGGTTCCATATTAGCCAATTTTGAGCCCAATTGGGGTCAATGTAAAATTGTTGCTAGGGTTATTGAGTCAAAAGAAAATACATAGAAAGTAAACTTTCAAGAGACTATAATTCACACGGGTCATCAGTTTTCTATTTTTAATGTAACAAATAGCTATAAAGTATAACATATTATTGAATCAAGTGTATTCAATCAAAATCATCGAAAATTGTATGATAAACAGCATTTTTGGGCATGAAATCTCATACAAAGAAATTATTTAATTACATAAATTATTTCTATGTATTTTCTATAATTATTTCTGTATTCATACAAAATAAATTATTATACAAATAAATAAGAACAGGGGAGGGGGGAAGCTAAATTTCCAACAGCAAAAACTCTCATCCCTTTCCAAAACTAAAATGGCAACTAAATTAAGCAAACATAAATTAAAATTTAATAATTAACATTTAACACAGCTTTTTCTAACATATATTATGACTTCAATGAATCAACTACTAAATTCATAATGTTAAAAAAAAAATTTAAAAAAAAAAAAGGTATCGAGAAAGTTGATTAAATTAGTCACTTAATTCCTATCACGTTAATTCTTATGTAATTCTTCATTTCACATTTTCTTAAGGAAGCAAATTATACTTTGATTTAAATAGTATATAACTTACAAATTTCAAAATCTATTATGATGTAAATTATTAAATATTTCAGGGTTTATGTTTAAAAGTTTTAGAGACAAAATTTGCAACAATCGTAAATTTGAACATCGAGAATTGAATTTGAAGGTCGAGTATAAATCTATCTTAACAATCATGTACTAAAATATTTTCTTGTTTTACATGGGATCTCAATAAGTCAAGGTTTCCATTAACCAAATTAGAATGTATATTAAATTTTGTGCGCATATTCTTCGAATTAAAATTTTTACACCTTTATTGAATATTATAAAACCTCTGCCCAATGCACAAAGATGCAAGAAAAAAAGTAAATTAAAATTTTTCTAATTCATTGTATATTAAATTTTGTTCACATATTTTTTAATTTAACATTTTTACACCTTTATTGAATAAATACCATAAAAAACTTGTGCTCAATACAAAAAGAAAAATGAATTAAAATCTAATCATTATTTGTACAAATCATCAATATGAATTGCAAAATATATATTAGGTTGGTGATAAAGTTTCTACCAGATTGACAACTTATACAAAAATTATCCTTACACTAAACTACAGAATTGTGATGGTTATAAGTAATGATTCATCATACACTGTTGATATTTTTTGATAGAAGTTTATGCACCTATAGCAGTATATGACTAAACCAATTACTATCGAGATTTAAAATTGTGTAGTCTCAATTGGAAACAAACCCTTATGTCATTCTCCTTTGTTTTAAACATTAAAGTAAAAATAATTTTTTGATGAATTCTGTTTTTTAAATTAAATTTGATTCTTAAATTTTAAATCCAAAAAATTATTAATCACATTAAAATCTGTATTTTAAATTCAACTTTTACTTTAAGCACAGTACATATTTGGTTGAAAATTATAGGTTTCACATCGATTTAGAATTCCATTTCCTCATTAGAAAATCGTAGGTTTTGGTGTAAGTAATAAATTAATAAAAATTATTTAAATTCATACCTTTGTGAAATTTTGTCCAGCATCTTTCAACATGGCAGCTTTCCATGTTAGCAAACGAGCAGCTTCTAATCTTGTTTCCATATCAGCCAGTTTCATCTTAGAAGAATAGAGAACATCAAATATTTAAATAATAATAAAAATGTCTGTACAGTGCGCACCAAAAAAGGATCACCCTGAATAACTTTATCTTTGATCTAATGTTCGGATCTTCACTTACTATGACTCATTCTTAATAGCTCGAGGGGGTGACCTCAAATATGCTACTTAATCAGTGTAGATTATATTTTAAGTTTTGAAATCGAACACAAAAACGTACTTTTTCAGAATAAACATACCTTTTTTTCGACGGATTCGGGTTTCTGACCTTCAAAATATAGGGGCTAGACACAATCTTGGAAATATTGTCCCTATAGTTTGGTCAGAAGAGTAATCAAAAGTTTGAACCCCATAAGATTAATTTTATTTTTAGTGTATTATGCCATATATCGAGCAATTTTTAAGGAAAAAGAAAAATTATTGGACACAATTATAAAATTTGTTTATTCAAAGATAATTCCATGCCAAAAAGAAATTTTTGTAAATATTATTTTTTGATTAAATGATTAAAAAATAATCAAAAAGAAAGTTTTGAATAGAAAAGCATACAACTTTCATATCATTTTTAAATGTGCAATTTTATATGGCAAAATACAAAATTTGAGCGAAATGGGTTAAATAGTTTCTGAAAAACCGAATTTCAAATTTATGACTTTTTCAAAATTTGATTTCTCAGGTACTATTCAAACAATTTTGCTCAAATTTTGTATTTTGCCATGAAAAATTACACACTTTAAAATGATATAAAAAATTATTTTTCCTAAATCTCACCGACGATTAGCAGGTGAATTAGGATTTTTTTTTGCAGCCACATACCCTCATGACAGTTAATGATGAATTTGTCCCTGACATTTTAAATGTGCCTGATTGTTTCTTGTTTAACCCTCAAGTTTAATAAAAAATCTGTATTTTTTTCCATCTTTTATCCAGAACAAGAACCAAATTTTAAAGAAAAAATAATTGGGTCATGTTTTAATGTTAATATTCTATAATATTCTCTATGTTAATATTTATATAAACTAATATCTAGAGTCTTTTTCATTCTTTGTTTGCCTTCAACTCTGGTGCTCATGTGACGTATGTGTGACCTCAAACTATCTATTCGATTTGCTGGATAATTGAAAATTTTATATCTTCCTCTTGGCCGAATTAATTTATTTCTCTTTTTTATATTTGTGTATTTAATGGTTCGTTATTTATCGACTAAATCTAAAAGGAAAGCAATAGCTTATTTTTGTCAAGGGATTCATGAAGGTTAAAGATCCTCTATTTCCTCACCAATGGTCTGATTGATGCAATAAGGTCAATATTGCGCACAAACCGCCTTCACTTCCTAGACAAGCTGGTATATATCAATCTGAAGGGTTTCAAGTCGCCACTGGATATCGAACCCAAGTTCTTCACAACAGTTTAGTGTTTACGTCACAGACAAAGTGCTGATCATTAATGGAAAAATTGTATATAAAACCTTTAAATCTGTGGTGGAATATAGCACATAGTGAAATATTAGCAACAAAAAATTTTTCATTTAAGAAAACGAATATCATACCTATTCATGATTCGGACAAATTAGGAATTTTACTCGGTAAAATGCCATCCCCTTTGAAATATAAGTTTGTGGCACCTGACAATTTCATTAGCACATTTGAAGTCACCCCCTTGAAATATTAAGTTTCAGTCCTAGAACGTGAAGATCCGATCAATAGATCAAAAGTTATCCAGAGTGGTCCGTTTTATTTTGGCGCACTGTACAATAATCTAATAATTATTTTGCATTAAATAATAATTGTTATGTAAACTGTAACATTTAAATAATAATTCTTATGTAAACTGTAGCATTAAAAATATAATTTAATTTAAACAATAAATATTACCTGTATTGCTTGTTTACTAAGTATAGGATTTCCAAAAGCTAATCTTTGTGAAGCATATTGAATAGCACAATCAAGGGCAGCCTAAAATATATGAACAATATGAAATACAGACTATTAAAGTAAATCAGCAGTCAGAATTTGAAAAAAAAGGCATTTTAAATACATAAACAAAATGAATGAATTTAAGTCAAACGAATGAATTAACGTTTTTATTTGTCAATATTGCAGTGGCAGTATCACTAAGACATTGTTGCAGAACAATACAGAGTTCTTGTAGAAAGAATTTTTCATTTGAGAAGCAAAAAATTTTGGTTTTCTTACCCGCAGAACTTTTAGTAAGTTTTTTTTTTTCAGCAGAGTTTTTCCAACAATGCTTTTTTTCTTTTTTCTTTCTTTATTTTCTTTTTTAGCTTTCTTTATTTTCTAAATATGCATTTCTTGCATTTTAGAGGGGAAAGAAACGCTCATGATTTTTTCTCCTTACAAAAAAAAAAATTGGTATGACTGTGAGTAAGAATTTTGTTACGAACTCAGATTTGTAGCAAAAGAATTAATAAATCATGGTGGTATGTTTGTCCTTCTTTTATTTAGTTGAAATAAAATTTATTCTATATTTTTAACATACCATTAGCATACTAGCGTTTTAAACCACGCAGTCTTCAATAAATCGCTTACAGCTCAAGCAGATTTCAGCGGAAATACATGCAATGATTTGATCAATTTTGACAATTATTGCTACAAATTTTTCTTCGTTTTTTTAAATTCCAATATATTTCATGTTACTTTTAATATTCTCAAGACTTTCTTTAAAAAAAAAATACTGATATTACGACACATGTAATTTATCTTTAATACTGAGATTAATATTATTTTGACATGTCAAATTCATATCACACATTTAAATATCTAATCACTTTTTTGACACTCTTAATTCACGCAGATTGCATCGTAAATCCATGTGGTGTTTCAAATGTTTTTTGACTGTTATTGATATTAATTTATACATGGTTTTTAAAGATTCCAATAAATATTATATAATGCAAGAAGTTCGAATCATGCAGAGTATTTACTTTTAGATGCAATGTTCTTATCAATTTTTCAGAAGTTATTGCTTTTAATTTCCCCCAAGTTCTTAAAATAATAAATTTTTTATATGACATTATTTAATACACACATTTGAGTAATCCCTTTTTGAGGAGTCTGATTTGTGTGATTCTTTTTTTGGTAGTCACTGCCATGGATTTCATTGCTTTTTTAAACGTGATTATTATTCACAAAATGTGAAAAAGGAAATAATTAGTTAATTTTTATAATTAATAATAATAATTTTTCTTTCCTCCTCAAAACAGGAGAATATCGCACATAATATTAGATTATGTATTGTTTTATATGTAATTTAAAAAAAATACAGTTGAAAAGAATTAGATTCAGTTTAATTCTATACATAAAGGCTTTTTTTTGTAAACACAAAGCATTTATGTTACTTTAAATAAGTAATATATATATTTGTTACTATTAACATTGTCTTTCAGAAAGGTATTAGTGTAAAAAGAATTGTAGCAGAAAGTTTTAAAAATCTCTGCTACAGGGGTCAATATCAGCAATATAAAATATATATTAGGTTATTGATCACATTTCTACCAGATTGACAATAAAAGTCTAGTTCAGTACAGTTTCTCTATTGAATGACGAAGAAAATATACAACCGAGCAATTGAATTTAACTCCATTTTGTTTTTAGAATCAAAAGGTTAAAAATTTATTCCTTATTATGACATACTTATTAAGAAAGAAAATCCTATCAATTTCAGATAATCAGTATGTTTGGTCAGTTTATTTTTCACTCCTTGATTGTAATAAAGTATTTTAACATTGTTAAGAGTTTCATAAACTTGTAGTGTTTGCCCCTCCCCCCCCCATATTGCGTTGATATTCTAACTACTTAAATGGTTACAATTTCTTCCAGGTGGCTTTTTTATTATACTGCAAATGTTATGTTATGCTACTCAAAAAATTTCTTTTAGTAATGCCTGTAGCTCACTTTTGGGTTTAAGAACTTTTTAAATTATACATTCCAGTATTTCAAGCCTAAATAAGCAATAAAAAATTATTTTATAAGCTTTGCTCCATTAGAATACATGTTAATTAGTTTTGCTTTATTTAGTTTAGGGTATTAATTCCTTAAGTGTCTGATACATCATGAATCATTGCATTTGGATTGGGAAATATAAGAACCCCCTGTAGCAGAAAAAATATTTATAGATATTTTAAAAAAATTAAGAAAGAAAAATTGAGAAAAATATGTGACAATAAAATAATTAAATAAATTAAAATAATTACATTGAGTTTTAGATCAATAAGCCAATTTTACAGAGAATGATTATTTAAATTTTTAACTCGGATTTATAATGTATCTCAAGTAGTTAAAAACTAATACATTGAGNAATAATTTTTCTTTCCTCCTCAAAACAGGAGAATATCGCACATAATATTAGATTATGTATTGTTTTATATGTAATTTAAAAAAAATACAGTTGAAAAGAATTAGATTCAGTTTAATTCTATACATAAAGGCTTTTTTTTGTAAACACAAAGCACTTATGTTACTTTAAATAAGTAATATATATATTTGTTACTATTAACATCGTCTTTCAGTAAGGTATTAGTGTAAAAAGAATTGTAGCAGAAAGTTTTAAAAATCTATGCTACAGGGGTCAATATCAGCAATATAATATTTATATTAGGTTATTGATCACATTTCTACTAGATTGACAATAAAAGTCTAGTTCAGTACAGTTTCTCTATTGAATGACGAAGAAAATATACAACCGAGCAATTGGATTTAACCCTAATCTCCATTTTGTGTATACAATCAAAAGGTTAAAAATTTATTCCTTATTATGACATACCTACTAAGAAAGAAAATCCTATCAATTTCAGATAATCAGTATATTTAGTCAGTTTATTCTTCACTCTTTGATTGTAATGAAGTATTTTACATTGTTAAGAGTTTCATAAACTTGTAACGTTTCCCCCCCCCCATATTGCGTTGATATTCTAACTACTAAAATAGTTAAAATTTCTTCTAGGTGGCTTTTTTATTATACTGCTAATGTAGTAGCTAATGTAGTAATGACTGTAGCTCACTTTTGGGTTTAAGAACTTTTTAAATTATACATTCCTGTATTTCAAGCCTAAATGAGCAATAAAAAATTATTTTATAAGCTTTGCTCCATTAGAATACATGCTAATTAGTTTTGCTTTATTTAGTTTAGGGTATAAATTCTTCAAGTGGGTGATATATCATGAATTATTGCATTTTGATTGGGCAATATAAGAACCCCCTATAACAGAAAAATTATTTATAGATACTGCAAAAAATTAAGAAAGAAAAATTGAGAAAAATATGTGACAATAAAATAATTACATAAATTAAAATAATTACATTGAGTTTTAGATCAATTAGCCAATTTTACAGAGAATGATTATTTAAATTTTTAACTCGGATTTATAATGTATCTCAAGTAGTTAAAAACTAATACATTGAGTTATAGATTGATTAATTTTGGAGAGAAAAACCATTTTAACTGTTAAATCTGATTTATTATATATGTCAGTAAAAAAAGTATAAAATCCATTCATTGAGTCATTTATAAAGAAATTGATCAATTTTGTAGAGAAAATATTTTCAACACAAAATATTTTTTAACATCATTAAGCTTGAGGTCAAAATTTTTGCCGATCAAAATGCAAAATATTAATTTGAATTAACAAATCAGTTTGAAATTTTGAACCTTTAATGTTCGTCTTTGATTTACTATAAGCATAATGAAAACTTTTCTTTGCAGTTTGTGTTAGTAGGCTCAGAAGGATAACAGGACTCATATTTATACACACACACTTATATATATTTCAGGTTTGTGACTATTACAATATATATTATATGCAATTACACATATTTCTAAGAAAACATATCCACATTTTCACTTCTGGAGCCACATTGCTCCCTAAATTCTACCTGCATTCGTCCATGATAAATCCTCCAGGGGTGATTGTGACATAAAGTGAAAAAAACAGAAAATTTTATGTGCAAAAACTTGATAACAAGATATCAATTTATATGCACTATTATTATTTAATATAATTTTTTGAACTGAAACTTATAATTAAATTAAATTACCCACCAATAAACAATATCACACTTTTATAGCAATTAATTTAAGAAAAAAACTTTTGGATTTTAAAATCGTGCAACTATGAATCGCGATATTGGATTTAAGAAAGCGAAAATACAAATCGCAATATCGGACTTTTGAATCGCACAAATATGAATCGCAAGGCATGATTTTTAGATCCCATGAATAGGAATAATATTAGATTTTAAACTTTCGTGAAAATGAACCGCGATACTGATTTCAAAAACATGTAAATACAAATTGTAATTTTGAATTCTTAAATCACGTGAATACGATTCACAATGACTAACTTTTAAATGAGATCAATACAAATATCGACGTTTGATATTAAAATCGTGTGAATACAAATCGCGGTATTAGCGGATTCCGGCATAGTTCAAAATATTAAAAATGGTCAAAATCCAAAATTAGGGAAAAGTCACATGTATGAAAACGCCTAGTTAATGTGAGTTAACAAAGGTTTAAAAATTTAAATTTTAGAACTTAATTCTTAGTTTAAATTTCAGATTGTGGTAAGAAAAATTTCTGATTATAAGTTTTGATTTGTGGAAGTCCGCAAATCAATGTCCTCTCCTCGTTATACCTGTCCTGGAGGGATGATATGAAAAACCTGGAATTCCGGGGTACACCTGGAATACAATCACCCCTGATCCTAACGAGAGAATCATTCTCTATTTTAACTCCTTTCCTGTCCCCCTAATAGGTGAGCAACACATCCCATATCCCTCACCTATTGACCTTCAGGTCAGGGGTCATTTATCTGCCTGGCAGTGGAATCAGAGTCATGATAAAGGTTTAACACTTTTAATGCATATTCTTCCAAAGTTACTTTATATTCTATTTGAAAAATTTAAAGCTAATAATTCTTTTTTTTTTTTTGCATTTGGAAAGTAAGCTTTTTTTAAAAATAAATTATGAATCAATACTATGTTCTACACTGCCTGTAAAGGTTTTGCATGACATTTTATTAAAAAAAGAAAGAAGCATTCTTTTGTTTATTATCACACTCACCTGTGCAATTCCCAATGCTTGCCCTGCAACACCGATTCTTCCAGCATCAAGAATGGTCTGAAATAATTTTGTATTAATAAACAAAATTTCATATTTGTATTAAAATGAAATATCAACTATGATAAGCTTGAAGAAATTACCATTGCAATTTTAAATCCCTCTCCTAGCTTCCCTAAGAGGTTTTCTTTTGGAATTTTACAATCTTCAAAAATTAAGTTACAAGTTGATGATCCTTTAATACCCAATTTGTTTTCTTTTTTGCCTAATGTGAGACCATTGGTTGGTTTAGGAACAATGAAACAACTTATTCCTTTGTGCTTCAGAGCTTTATCAGTTGTAGCAAGCACCTGTGAACAATAAAATAGTAACTTTAGTGCACATATTTAATGGTCGAAAAGATATATAATGATTAAATGAGAAAGAGACATATTGTTTCTGTTTCGGAGGTCTAAGCTAATTCAAACTTGAAAAAAATTTTTTTTTCAATATTAAGCTTGTCTGAAATTTATCATGTGAGATAGATGAGAAAATTCTAAAACATAAAAGTTCAAAATTCTTTAACATTTCTATTATATAATAATTACTACCCATTTCTAGATGTAACAAGATTCATAATTTTAAGATTATGTTTTTAAAAAAACAAACAATTTATTTAATTTAAATCAGATTCTCTTTAGAAACTCAGATTCTAAATAGTTAAATTTCAGAATTATAAATTAAACTTTAAATAGCATTAAAAATAAATCCTAACAGTATATTTGAAACTATATTTCATAAAGAGTAGTTTAAGACACTCAACCATATGATTTAAATTTATAGAAATGGAATGTAAAACCTGTCACTATACACCAGGTACTCGAAAATGCTATTTAAACTAATATCAACTGTAAATCATTTAAAATATATAATACAATATCTATGCATAACTAACAATCATGATTAATAGATATTAATTCATTAAAATTTTAAATTTCAGAGTATAGATTTTCAATCAGAAGTGATCTCAAAGCGCAAAGAGCGATTACTGAAAATAACGCTAAATAAAAATCTGAGAAATAATTTCATGCTTTTCTTTTCTTTTTTCTTTCTAAACTTTGAAATTTATATTTGACAACTGCAATAAATTTTCACTTTGATCTTAGCATGAATTTGAAAAATCCAGAAGAATAAAGATTTTTAAAATGTCATTTCAAGAATAGTGTAACTTATTTCTGATTAAGTACTTATGAAACGTTGCTAGTTGGAACCTACCAACACAGATAGTGGTTTGAAAAACTACATTATTTTTGTAGTTAACTACAACTACTTTATTAGAAGTATAGTCAACTACAGTTACAACTACTTTTTCTAAAATGTAGCGACTACAATCTACTTCGGAGATGTAGTCACTATTTGACTACTTTTAGAAGATGAACTTGGCCAGAGAACTTAATTTACAACCATGCTCAAAATAGTTTGGAATAAAAATTGGCTTAATTAAATGCGATCAATAATTATAAAATATTTATTCCTGTTCAATCATTTATTTATTCCTGTATAAATGAGCTAGTTTGCTAAACTATTTTTACGAATTTGTTCTTTTAAACTTCGACTTTTTACACCTTTCTCGACAGCAAATATTCGATTCAGAAATACTAGGAAATTTTCAAATATTTTAAATTTTGTTAAGCTTTTAATGCTCTTTCATTTCCTCTAAGAAACGAAGCGCACAAAAAAATTTCCTACTGAATTAACATTAATGTTTCATGAAAGTACATTCGCATTTGAAAGAGAGGCTAAAGCGATAAATGAGTTGTTATTTATAATAGCTAGTTTAATCTTAGCAAGGTGTAATTCTAAGAGTTGCAGGATTCTTATCAGTGCTGAGATGTAGGGACATTTTCACAGCATCCACTGACAGACCTGTGAAGATTTTTAATAATAAATAATTAGCTGAATTTGAGCATTGTTTCTTTACTAAACAAACGTATAAAGCAGTTGTCAGGAATTGCTACAAACTAGTTTTATTTTTTATAGCATTTCTGACTTTTCTTAAAAAGTAGCACTCAACACTACAAAAACAAACAAAAAAGTAGTAGAGTAGTTTTAATACTTGTGTGCTCCTTTCGACCACTGGACACAGTTATAATTAATTTTAGAACAAAGAAAAATTTAAAAACCTCATTTTAAAATGTGTGTAAATGCAAAGAGTACCATTTTCTACCCTCCTTCCTATTATATTCAAAATATGTGTTACACACCTTAAGGTGTGTAACTGGTATTAGGAAATGCGCTGCAAAGTTATGAGGGGGGAAATGGTATTTCAAAAATGCAGACAACTGATTAAATTCCCATTTTGACGAATGAAAATTCGAATTATAACCAAAATCATTAATAAATGCATAATTCATGATTTTCAAAAAAAAAAAAAAAATCCTTCTGTTGCTAATATTTTCACAATATGTAATTTTTTTTTTACCAATATATTACTGATTTAAGGATTTTAACCATAATTATTTTAGTCAATGAGCTGCGATTGGTCAATGGGTAAAGCATTGAAATGTTGTAAAGAACTGGGGTTCGATTCTCACTAGAGACTTGAAGCCTTCCCAGCATCAGATCAATGGATACTAGTTCGTCGGAGAAGTAAAGGCTGTTTGCGTGCAATGCTAACCACATTGCAATATAATCAGCAATTACCACTTTGTTGCACATTAAGAACTGTTGCAGAAACTCTTTACCTAAATTCTATTCAATAAATATGAACCAGTCGATAAAGAAATGTAAAAAAAAGAAGAAAAAAAGAAGAAAAAAAAAAGAAGAAAAAAAAGAAGAACTTTTTTTTTATTCGCAGCTAAGATGTAGACATTATTTTTTACTATTCCATATATTGAATAACAATTTAGTAATCGGCAAATCTCAAGAGTACCAGACAGAAATAAAATAGGTGTTCTAAGAATCTTGGTTAAAAATGAAAATACAGTTTCAGTAGCTAAATAGTAAAAAGAAAGAATAAAATATTTATTATAAATCAAAAGCCTGCTGAACTTAGCAAAATATAATTATTTGCTGTTATTGTTGACTTATGTTACTTGACAATATTGACAAGCGTATTTTAAGAGAGTGGGGTGTGCTTCTTCTTGTTTTCCTCTAGCGACATCTATGGCCGAGAATTAAACTTCTGCCACACAAATATGTTACAGCCTGTTTTACATGGAGGACACATTCACACACCATCCATCCATAGAACGTAAACTAAACCTGAACCAGAGCACGATCAACCTACGATTCAGTACCTTCAGGGATATCAATTTGTTACGAAAACTTGGACTTTGTGGCCTCAACAGGGGTAGTGTGCACTAGTCACCAATTAGTAAAAGGGAGGTCTTTGGTCACAACCTCTTGGACATGAATCCAATGATGTACCAAATAAGATATCTATTTATTTGTTGAAAAGTGAAAAATAATAAAGTAGATACAAATATTAGACTTTATGCCTAATTTTTCCATTTAATATACATAATAGTTAATAATTCGATAAATAAAGTAAATGAGTATATAAAAAGATGAAATAAAAATGATTATTTTAAAATAATTATTGATAATTCACAGTTTGAATTTGTTTTTACTTTCTTTCGTGTAGCATCAAAGGGATTTTGTAAAATTATCAAACCAATTTGATGTAATTTCCATTGGTGCTAAGTTCTTAATATTTTCTTTTACAATCTCAAGGGGACTTCGCTTGCTGCTCTCAAGGCCTGTCAACTCCCAAGAATTCTCAAGTAGTTTCTTTCTAATAAGCTTCTTAATCTTTACTTTTACGTTTTTTTAATACTCTAATTATTATGTAATAATATTTTTATTATATTTTATTTTAATTATATTAGAGGCAACTCCCTCTGTTATTTATTGCATAGTTTCATTTGTGTTTCTCAAATAAAATAAGAGAAAAGGATTTTTTGTAAACATGCCAAATGGCCAAGGAAAATTTGCCGCACAGTGCAAATGTTTGGGAGGTCACAGCAACTTCCTGTGACCTCACCTGGGTGTAAGGTATTATTGCAAAAATACTTGCTATTTATTAATGAACTAAACTGCGAAATGTTCTGACTAGAAAGAGTCTAACTAAACAGTTTCAAGAAATTTTACATATGGCAAGCAGGTGGGATGGGGTAGGGAGCAAAGGACAGTTTCTTGCATTCTGCATTTATTCTTCAACACCTTCACAGTGAATTTAACGAATGACGGTTGTAAAATTTCTCATTTTTTACAAGGTAGTTGCAATCCAGATATATCTAATGTATATAGGAACTATGTAATGAGCTTCTTTCTAAATATTCTTGAATTAAATTTTTTAGATTTTAAGAAAATTACATAAGTGAAGCAATAAGTCTAGTCACTTAGTATTCAAATGAATAGACAAGGCAAAAAAAATTTCGAATTTTTCATCATACTTAATTTTCTTACTTGAAAAGTACAATTTTATCTAATTTATAATATCATCTGAATTTCATTTCACCAATGGTAAGATAAATATTAGTGTTAGATAAATTCTTAAAGTAAATAACATTAAAGTAAATAGAAAAAAGAAAAGACATAATATAACAATATTTTGCTACATCAAAAATGCAGTAAACTGAATTCTGCTAATATAAATTGAATTTTGATAGTTACAATTTAAGGCAGATTATTAAAACTAGTACCATCTTTATTAGATCCCATGAAGAAGAATAAATTTAAAAAAAGAGAGAAATATAAATGGGACACTTAAACTAGAAAAAAACATGTAACGTAAATTTTTCTTAAACCTTTTTTAAAAATAAATAAGTTTAATGAAATAAATAATTTCATGCATAAATTTTGTGATGAATAAAAGCATGTAAAGTAGAGTTTGAAATAAAATTTGCTAATTTATTTTAAGACAAAGCAAATTGATATAAATATAAATGTGGATTAAATTAGTGTCATTAAAAAAAAGAAAGGAATAAGCTTTTAGGACTTTTTGATGCTTATAAATTACCCAGGGGAAAATTTTTTTTGTTCCATTTATGCAAACATTTGGAATTGCCTAGTTGGGGAAAGGGAATTTCAAATCTGAAATTAGTTTTGCTCCTAAGGCTAAAAATTTCTAAAAGTTATTTTCAGTCCATTTCTTGCCGAAATTTACAAGTTTAAAAACGGTATAGATAAAAGGGGGGCATTTAAATGTTACAACAAACTTATAGGGAAGTTAGGGCACATCATCAGAATTACAATTGCAAACAAACCCATGCCCTATAAGATCATCATATGCGGCTAGGGGAACTTCCCCATTATGATCTGTTTCAAAGCGCATGAAGAAATAGCTCATAATAGCTACAAACGACAC